CCAGGGAATCGCAAATGCTGCTAGAAGTTTTGTCGGGCAACACTGACCCAACGCGGTTAAACGTGAAGCCCGGTGAGCAGCCCCCCTTCTTGTTTGGGACGGTTCCAGACATTCTGGGAGGTTGGATGTCAATGACACTGATCTCAACGCTACTTGAGGCCCTATACGGGATCCACAAGTGCACGAGTGTCGAGGTAGCGACCTGGGCGGGTGCTCTCGCAAAGGAGAACCCATCGTACCCTCCAGTCGAGCTCCTAATACGGAAGGTCTGGAGGACAGATGGCACGTCTGAGCGCCCGAATGAGGTGCTCTTTGCGCGGTCCACCCTAATCGGGAGGGACGTGCCGTTCAAAGTTTTCAAGCGTTGGGCACTGCGTGACCGAACGCCAATGGGGCCTTTGCTCAGGCCGATGGTAGCAGCGGAAGTCCCTTATACGGGATACGTGCTGCTGACGATGGCCGAGTATCGGTCCGCCCTCAAAACGAGGTGCATCCGGAGGCCAGGCAAATTCGCCATCACGGTTTTTCCCATGCGACCTGAGCAGGTCTGCCGGGGGGAGATCATGATTGGGATGGAGGGCGCAAAGGTGCCTCTCCTCAAGTTGCCCAGCCCCAATAATGAGGGCGAATTTTATGTTGACGATCGCGTCAAATACATGGACAAGCGCCATCTCGTTGTGGCCATTGACCTAAAGTGGATGGCCATCGAGGAAGCCGCCGGCATCTATAAAACCCGACGCGGTTTGATTGCCGTGCGGGAAGAGATACATGCACCCTTCTGGCGCGCATGCTATCTGCACCAGGAAGGGGATGTAATATACATCCGTCCCTGGGCGGTTCGTGAGTTGAATGTTCAGGGACCGCCGAGAGGGGTGTCATTTTCATGGGACAATGCTCCCATGCATGACTACTGGTGCCCTCGGTGCGCGCATTTGAACATGTATGGCACCATTCTATGCAATGGTTGCCATCTGCCGATTTTCTATCGTGAATGGGTGCCAGGCACCGTCCGTTCTCTGGTTAAGAATGGGCAGCCAATCTGGCTAGAGAGACTCAAGGCAGTCCGTGCCAGTAGCTGGTACGAAGGGGAGACCGACGCGTGGGCTCCTCTCATGGCATCGGTAAACCCGATCCGCGAGGTGGTCAGCTGTATGATCACCGGTTTGCGCTGTGCGCCGCATCTTGTGCACGTTCCCAACGCGGACATTGTGCAAGTTGCGTTTCAGGAGGTTGCAAAGGTCACCTCAAAGGACACTCACGCTTGTGTGCGGGCGAGTGATGAGGCTCTCGAGCGGTGGGTAGCGAAACAGCTGCTCATCGAGGAGAGCAACACTGGCGTCTCGATTCCCGACAATATGTCTGTCTTGGCATATTTGATCGAGCACCCGCAACAGGCGGCGCAATGGGGTCGTCATATGACGAGAAAGGGCAGTCTAAATTCAGCATTTGCCCTTTACCTCTCTGTGCATATCTTTGATGCCTACCGCATCGGGATTGAGGACGGGTATTTGGTTCCGCTGTATGGCCTAGGCGCCTCACGCGCGGACATCATAATGTCATTGGTACAGGCTGAGCGACGCCTCACGGACTTCAATACTGAAGATCCGAGTTTCGATGCTTCCACTGTTCTTGATTGGAGTATCGACTCTTTGCGGGCCGGTGGTGGATCCATCACGGCCCCAATTGAGTATGCTGAGGCATACATTTATGTCGAAGACAACAAGGTTGACATGGTCCCCGCTTCGCGGCGCGACGGCCAATGCGCCATTGTTTTTGCTGACCCGCCGGTTGGGAAGCACCACAGGCGGGCAGCCACTCCTAGGGGAGACCAACGGTCTGCTACCCCGCGACCTGAATCCAGGTCAAAGGGTGATCAGCAAAAGGGCAAAGCCCCTGCGCAATCCTGGCCCAAGGGCGGAGGTCACAAGGGTGACCAGTTCCCAGGAAAGGGTCACAAAGGTGATCAGTACAAAGGCAAGGGTGGCCAATACGGCTACCAACAAGGGCAGTTCGGTCGTGGCGGATCCGCCAGATCGAGAACTCCCACTGGCGGGTATCAGCCTGATGCTCGCGGGTCGGGATACAAGGGTGCTCAGGCAGCTCCTTACCCTTTCCCGAGTCCGATGTACCCCGCTTTCCCAATGGGAGGGTACATGCAACAGCCAATGGCTGGCATGATGCCGCAAATGTGGCCTGGCGCAATGCCGCAGGGTTGGCAGCCGCACATGCAGGGTGATCCCCGCGAGTTCGAGAATCCGAGCTCGCCGCATACCCCTACCTGGGGTGCGGATGATGAGTTGGCCGAGACCGTGCCTCCTCCTCCTGGGGACTGGAACGTCAACAAGGGGAGGGGACGGCACGGCGGCGGACGACATCGGTGATACCTGATGTTCGTCTGCTTCCTTTGCGTGGCGGCGCCAACGCGCGCATGCCTTCATTCCGGAATTCACATAATGGACTATGCTCCTTGTAGTATTTCTGTGTTTGGGCTATTCGCCATTTCGGAATTCAACTGCATGCGCAGCTGTGCGCTATTCGCGCAGGCAGCGATTACCTGTCAGGTGTATGTCGCCGCAGCAAGGAAGTCATCCTCGGCGGCGTCTATGGCCGCTGGTGATCTGCTTTCTCCAGCACCGCTGCTGCTGCTGGTGATGGAGCTCATCAAGGTGCTGTGGTGAGGATCACGGATGCGCTGCACCGCTGCCGGTGAGGTCCTATTCGGACCTGAACCGCTGATTGCAGCTGGTGGTGTTCCTACCGAAGGTCTTTGCGTGATCGCGCGCCTAGACGGTGCTAATTTAAAGACCGTGGTCTTGTGGTCGAAGCACCACGTTTCAACCAGTGGGCCAATGCGCCTAAATCATGAATTCAGGAAATAAATCCACTCGAACCTTACGGTTCGATGTGGTTGCAGTGCAAATGTATTTTTATTTCATGCCTGCCATTCTGGAGTTGAATCTTTGTTTCTGTTTCTTTTTGCTTTCTCTTGTTTGATTTGGCTACCGGCGCGAATCCGCCCCATACCCGTAATTCGGGGTGGTGGCGGGATCCGGGCACCAATGAGTGCCCGGGTATGGGGCCGCGAACCCTGGTAGCCTAATCGGCTCTGTTTTCTTGTTTTTTTTTGCTTTTCAACTTCAACATGGCCAATGCGCCCTTCCAAATTCACTTCCTCTCTTTGTACAGGCGAGGGGTGTGTTTTTGGGGGCATGCACGTTTATCATAGCATGTTTGATTATTGCCATGGCCAATGCGCCATTTGGCTCAAGTTTTCCCTCTGGCGAACCCACACTTGCCATACTCGTCACGGCGCCTTTCAACGGCGCGGCGCCCATCATCGCGCAAAAGGTGCGCGTTGCTGGGAGGCCGCGGTTGTGGTTTGGCCGTGGAGGTGGGTCAGGACACGGGTTTGGGAGGGTGCTGCATTTGGTTTGCTTTGCGCTTCGCTTTGTTTGCCTGCCTGGTTTGCTGCTTCGTGCTTGCTTTTGGTCGTCTCTGCCCTTGCTGGGCTTATTCATCTTTTGGTTAAAGGCACCCTGTTTTGGTTCGTTTGTTGTGCCAGCCGAGGGCACCGCTTTGCCCTTGGGACTGGGGGACTTAAACAATCTCTTCTTGTTGGTGGGATTGGGCCTGTTTATTCTCTCCCGAAACTCTGTTTCAAACCCTTTCGCAGTTTCTTAATGGGTTGCGTCCCATCATTTCCAACAGGCGTTCTTGGAAACCCGGTAGTCAGAAAAAGGCGTCGCGGTTAGGCTTGCATGCCCTTGTCATCTGTTGTAGGGGAGGCTGGGGGGGGGGGCTCCTTTTAACATGCCTGAAAACCAGATGAGAAGCCATGTACATGCAACCAAAAGTGCCCATCCTAAAATAGAAGTTTGCGGGGGACAAATTCGGAAGGCGAACGGCCGACGGCTGATCAACTGGGTTCTGCTCGTCCATGCTCCCAGTCCCTCCTTTCCTGCTTTCGGACCTCAAAGGCCTCGTGTCTATGGGACCCTTAGGCTTCCCCAGAATTAGTGATTTTGGTCTTTTTTGGGGTCCCCTTTGTTTTTCCACTAGCCAGGCAAATATATACATATATATATATGGTCCCCCCACTCCCCCGCATCATCCGCATCTTGGGGATGATGCTGGGGATGCTGTCCAGTACCCTGTGAGCCCTGCAGCTTCGGTCCCAGACTCCCCCTTTCACCCCGTGAGCCAACACCCCCGCACCTCTCGCAACATCCTACCCTAAACCAAGCCACCCGAAACCCACCGCAAACCAACCCTGAACCAACCCTGAACCAACCCTAAACCAACCCACCAAGCCTAAACCAACTCCGAACCACGCCCCAACCACCCAACCACCCCACCACCCCACCACCCCACCACCCCACCACCCACCCCACCCCCACGGGGGGGGGGGGGTTGGGGGGTTGGGGGGGGGAGGGTCCACGGCCTGGAACACATATATATATATATATGTATATTTGCTGGGGTCCTAGTTCCAGCCAAGTAGGGTGGTTTGGTTGTGACCTACATGACGTCAAGGGGTTGGCAATTCATTCAGGATTTGTTTGAGGTGTGTCCTGCTTCAGAGAGAGTTGCACACGGCCCCTGCGATTTCGCTTGGGGTGACTTCAGTTTAGGTCAGATTAGATTCATGGAGGCAGGAGACCCTTCACCTGGAAATTGAGATGGTTGTGGTTGTTGCCTAACCTTCCACTTGCTATTTTAAGTTTATGTTCCTCTTTTGGTAAAGCGAATCTGTCATTTCTGCAGCAGGAGCTCTGACAATGTCCGATCGTTGGAAATCCAATCGCAGTCCAACTACCGAAGGTGTCATCTTTTGTGTTTTTAGTTTCCTGCTGTGAGCTTGCACGAGCAGACTTTAAGCTCTAATGAAATACGCAATTGTTTTCTCGGTGTTTACAAGAACTCCGATAAAAATTGGTCCGTTGGACGCAGTTTCAACCCCCTGGCGATCGGATTCCGCGATGTCCGCGATCGGATTCCAGGCGAGCATGTCGGTGAAGATTGCCAATGAGCAGCTGCTTGACAACTGTTTGTGGGAGGAAGGGTAGCTGATTTCTTCCCCAGAATTAGTTCCCCTTTTTCCTTTTTGTTTTTTTGTGGTCCCATTGTTTTCCACTAACCAGGCAAAACAGATATTTTTTTGCTGGGGTCCTATTTCCAGCCAAGATTTTACGCATCACCTGTTGGGGCCACTTGAAATTGAGCCTGGTGTCATCTTCGAACTCACATGGAGCCGTTCGTATGGTGGGGAAGACAAAAGCCATGATCAACACGTGGCTTAGGTCTAAGGGTTGATTCCTCTTTTCTTTTTCTTAACCAGCCATCCATCTTAAAAAAAGAAAAATCAACAAATATCGCTATTTTCCCTGGGTGTCAAAGGAGGTTTTCTAGAAAGATTCGGATCCCTGGATAGAATGGAAATGGAAGGTACCCCTGTGCTCGCTGACATCTCATGCATACATTTGGTTTGTTCATTGTTGTCATGCCATGCTGGGCTCTGCCAAGTGGTTTGTTTGCCCAGGAGTGTTTCTCAATAATGATAGGGGTCCCCTAAAATGTTCTACAATTCTGTATTGCGACATGCACAGATTCACTCTGCAAACAATTTAAACAAGAGAAGCACAAGCTCCAGCCCAGATCAAGGTTGGTAGGGGGCAATCCCCGTTTCATCAACATGCCCAACAAATCCATCAGACTGCATAAAGAACCTTCACTTTGAGGAATTGCCCCCAAAATCACCAATGTCTCAGCAACCGTAGCTGCCCAAACCACATGCTTGGAATCGTTGTGTTTTTTGAAGTTCCAAAAACTATCGATTTTTTGTTGGGAATTGAAATTCCGTACATAGTTGCTGAATTTTGTGACATGTGGGTTTTTGGAATTATAGAGGTTTTTAGAACTTTGCATTCACTGTTTTTTTCTTTGAATTTGATTTGGGGAATCCCGGTTTTCTTATAGAATTTGCATTTGCTGAGGGTTGGTTTGGACTTTCCATAAAGAGGCTCGTCCCCTACTAACTTTGGCAGAGTGATTGGTGGGATTGACTTGCATGACAAGCCATCACCCCCGACCCCCCCTCGAATGCGTGTGGTGTGGTTTGGCGTACCCTCCATGCACACTACTCACATCACAGCTAGGATTCAGCACTTTTCGACACACCGTTTTTGCTTGTTTAGTCGCGGCTGCTGTACTAAAACTCGCAACAGACTATAGACTATATCATAAATGTTCACCTCAGATGGATTGTTTGTGTTTTGGTGCAGCTTGGAAAAAGCAACGAAACTGGAATATAACACCACCATGTTGTTGAATGGTACTGCAGCCATGTCCAGGTTAAGCCACATACTGTCCATGTCACTTAGCACTGACGAGATGTCTGTAAGTCGAATTGTTGCTTTAGGCAGATGCATTACGATGACCGGCTGAAGCCTTGCAGCGGCTGAATTGGCATATTTGCCCGTTTTCGGGGTACGCATTCCATTTTTCACTCACTTGCCCAAAGCCGACCTTTTTGACCTTTTGGCTCCCCCTTCTTGGTCCATAGGCAAGTTGTCCGAAATTGTGATATCGCCTTTTGTTTCCAGGTTCCTTCATAGCACAACGCAAGAGGAAGCTGAGTGAGTGAACCCTGGCAGGCGACTTTTGGTCATAGACTCCCCGGATTCGCTAGCCACGTGTCAAAATGGTGGGTTCAGCTAGGCAAGGGGTCCCGTTTTACTGGCTGAAACAACAGGGCTCCTTAAAAGAAATACATTTTGCAACCATTTGAAACATGTTGTTTTTTCCACACCAAAAGAAAGGGACACCTCCATTTACAAGTTGCAATGTTCGATCGGTGTATTCACTGTAAGGCTCCCTGGGCTTCTTTATCGCCCATTCGCCTTGCGGCATTCCTTTCCGAGGCGCGCGAAGCTGGCGGCGCAGGAGTGTGTGAGTTGCCTCCAGTCGCGGAGGGTTTGGTGGCCAAATCGTTTCTTTAAAAAAAATATCAAAAAATGTCAGGTAACCAGATGCTTCTCAATTGATTGGTGGTTTGGGGGTACCTGCAGTTTGTCTTGGATGGGGATTGTACCCTTCAATTGGTGGTTTGGATGGATTAGTGGTATCGCGAGGTTGAACCCCCGTCTCCTTTTGAGACCAAATGCGGAAGCTACCCGGAAGCTACCTCACAACGTGCAAACACAACCACCAAATACAAAAGTAAGGTGATTCTAACTCTATACAATCATGACTTAAGCATGGTTGTTGTTGGGTTACATTTTACATTTTTGCTGTTTGTGGTTTAGGGGGAAATCCCCACTTAACTGCTAAAATATATTTTTTGCTCCCCTTCCAACGTCAACCAAGTAAGTTTGCTTCCACAATGAGCCGCAACCCGTTTCTATCTCAAGCAGTTTGGCCGTTTGCCTGGCTGAATTCCGCAGCTCGGGCTCGCAGCCATGAAGCAAGCACGTGAGAGACCCATGGCTGACTGGTCCGAAAGCAAGCGAGTGATTTTTTTCCCGGGGCCGCTCTCCAACCTACATGTCCAAAGCTAAACTTCCAAACGTAGTCTTCAAGTTGTTTTCATATAACTTGCTGACTCAAACTTTCCGGATCTCCGATCTCAAGCATCGTTTGCTGCGACCTTTGCGGCCGATTTCGCGTGCTTTTGGCATGCCGATGTGCCGGGAACCCTGGGCAAACCTTTCCCAAAAGCATCGCTCTTAGACACTTGGTAGGGAATCCTGGGAGAATCTGGGAGACCGCATTGTGGCTCAACAAATCGAGAATCTGGGCAGAGTGGGCGCTCCTTCGCGCCTGATCCGGTAATGCGACCCTGCTAGGCCCTTTGCTTGGATTCCTGTTCGGTTTGAAGTAACTTGTATTTCCGGCTTTCCCGCGAAGGGACTTCTTTGACTCCCTTGCCCTTTTTCAGGCTTCTGCAGGGCAACCACAAATGGCACGTGTGTTTTTTAGGGAGTGGCATCAACGGGCCACGCAGGAGACTAATTACTAATTAGCTTTTCAGACTCCGCAAGCCCCATCCAAGCCTCCAAGCCGGGCGATTTTCGACACTGCGCCGGCTGGGCGGAATCGAATGCTGGCGCTGGATCCGAAAGACTTCCGACGGCCAAAGGGCCGCACGCGACACCTCTACTTGGCCAATTGCGGCAGGAGAGCCACAGGTTCGGCCGGGCTTACTCGGCCACAGTACCGGGCTTGCTTAGGCAGCTGCCCTGATTTTTTGCCCGAAGGGTTGTCTCCAAGTGTTGCTGCTTTGAGCTTGGGCGGGGGGTCTGTGGATAAAAGTGCACCAGCACGGGAAGCATGCACAAATCTCGAAATGTTGACCCTAAATGAGCATGATCAGGTTCATCACATATCGACCAGAATCAAGCATGATATTAAAATTGATCCAATGAACGCGGACCCTAGTCAGCGGAAGCTCTTATGGATCATGTCCTAACTTAAATGGAACTTCCCCTGATTAGCAAGGATTATATTTGCCTCAGGAGCCACCTCTTGGTGCGGTCCTCCTTTTAATCCGAACCTAGGTCCCCCAGAAGTGCCCTTTCTCACCCCTTTTTTGGGGGAGGGTTCCCCTACTATAATAGACTACAGGAAAACACTGGCACCCTTATTGTAACCTCTCGAATCTGGAGGACCTAGGAACTTAACAGGTGGTAAAGGCTCAGAGGAAGCTCGCAGGAGCCGCGGGGAGTCTGAGCAGAGCGTGCTGGCGCAGCTGCCGGCAGATGTGCCGTGGCGAACTCGTGTTGTTAACTTTTGGCAGCCCAAACTCAGAGAAACCAACTAGCAGGGATACGGGGGAAACCAGCTGTACAAAAGGATTCCCCCAAAATGCACCTTGACTAAGTTTGATATGGGGAATGGCGCCAAGGGAATCCCCTATCCCCGCTCCGTCCGTATCCCGCTAGTTCGTTTGTCCAACAAACCTCAACAAAAAGCTCCGGGCAAATATCCCCTTTAGAACCAAAAAGGCCGAAAGGCCAGCGTCTAAACAAATTTGACTCCCCAAATGATCAAAGGGTAGAGAACAATGGGTGGGTCGTTTCGTTGACCGAAGTTCTACCCAGGGTGCCTGAGGAGTAGCCCTGCTAGCTTCTTAGATCCTTCCCCACGCAGTCGTACTTTAGATGTCGGCTATGGGTAGTCCAGTTTGTTGGGTTTCGCCCAAGGACATGGCACAGCCATGAAGTGGAAGGAGGAAGGAAGGGTACCCCCGATGAAGGATTCCCTTTGAGTTGCTTTTTGACACGAGAAAAGCGAATCTTAAAACCGATCGCAAGGGGTCAATTGTTCCAATTTCCAATTGTCTCAAACATGCGCTGCAGTTTGATGGCTAAAGGCTAAAAGCCAAGCAAACACCCCAATCTTCTTTGGCAAATCCGAGTTCCAGTCATGCGTGTTTGGTGTGTGTTTTCAGTTGTTCAGTTGACGCGTTGTTTCCGCTTTTTTGGCTGCGTGTCAACCGCAAATATGTGTGTGTTGCCTTTGTCTATCAGGATCACTGGTCAACTAACTCGGTTCGAGTGAAAATATCGTTTATGCGACAGGTAGGAGGTCGGAGGCCCCAGTTCATTTGCAGATAGAAATGGTTCCAAGAATACTCTTTGCGTTTGTTCTTCCTGCTCGGCTGCCGTTGCAGGGCTGACTTCCGACGTTGACTCTTTGCTCGCTCAGCTAAAACGTTGTCCTCTCAGGGTGTTAGGATCTTCCTCAGCCAACTGTTCACGCCCAAACTTGCTGAAGCTTGAAACACGCCGATGTTTGAAACAATATTATTGGATCTTGCTACATGGCTTCCTTTCACATTCCTTCTATTAGACACGTCAATTGTTGCTTTGAAGTCAAACTTGGAGCTGTTTACACGGGTTGGATCGACCTTTGAAGACTGCTTTTCCAAGGAGGCAAATGGAGTTCAACTAGTTTTTAACTGAACTCGGTCTTGAGGGTGCCCCTTTTTTGTGGTTTAAAAGAGAAACCACCAGGAAGGCCAACATTTTGGTGTCCAACCTTAAGGACAAAGCCTTCTAGCGATTCGGAAGGGACAATTCTGAACTGATCAGGTGTTTGGCCTGCATGTGGGCGACGGCATCTCCTACGTCAGCTTCGAGGATGCCAATACGGCAGAAAGAATCAAGGCCGGGGATGTGGCCCAAACTTTGGGCTGGTCAATCAGGACTTGGTGGCTCCGAGCCATCCGGTTCTTTAGCGTTTTAGACTTTTAGTGTTTAGTGGGGGTTTCCGGGGCACAGAGAAGAGCACTTCCTGAGTTCTGCATCTGACTTTAGTCACTTTTTGAATCTGGACAAAGTTTGGTTCCTGCTTGGCCAATCCACTCAGGAAGTGAGAAAGCTGGCCACGTTGGGATCACTTTTGAAATGATGTTGCAAGCAAACTCTGCAGGTGAGGGGGTGGCTGCATACCTGGTTCAGGTCAGTGTTTGCATTTCCCCTGGTTGCCAGGTATAAATACGTAGGTGGACACCTATAGACCCCCGTCCACGGCCAAAAGACATGGGCTAGCTGCCCAAACTCGATGTTGGAAACGGTTGGTGTTGCCTTGGCCTATCCTTAGCCAAGATCAATAAAAAAATATTTGACCCGTCTCTTGCAGACCCTTCGCAAGGTTTATGTTTTGCACGAGGGGAAACGCGCTTGGTTCGGTGGTCCCAGGGTCACGTGCCTACCGAGAAAAAAACAGACACACTCACATACCGGTCTGCTTGGATCACCCTGTTCGAACTATGGGGGATGCATTAGTTTTGTTATAGTCAGCCTGAGAATGGAAGACATATCAAAGATCCTACTTATATGTCCATCCATCTTGATTCAATACATCGACCATCATGCAAATGCTGTGTTTTGCTTCTTCTTCTTCTTCTTCTTCTGCTTCTGCTTTTTCTTCTTCTTTTCTGGAGCTGGTGTTTCAGGTACCCCTTAGTTTGGTGTGGATTGGCGGCTCGGCGGCTCGGCTCGGCGGATTTGAACAGCTGGTCCTTGTGGAGAGTAAATGGGAAGCCACATCCAAGCCACCAATTGGAGGGAACCGATGGCACGAGAGAGAGAATTGGAGGGAATCCTAAGATATAAACTAACACAAACAAGTGCAGACATCTAGATGACAGGGTGCGTCAAAAGGAATTTGGACCTCGAAAATGGTGTTGGTGTGTGTGTGTGTGTTTTTTCTTTTTTCTCAAGCGCCATGGATTTTCTCTCCTTTGGCAGGCGCACTTGGAAGCCTCTACCCGGTGGGTGGTCAAGTATGCGGAGTTGGAGGGCGAGGGAGGTATCCCGCCACAGCTGCGGAGTGCCACTAGCCCAGGAACATGGTGGACCAGTACTTGAGTACTTGACTCACGCACTTCCTGAGTTGGACTTTATACCTTTTGGGTAGACCATTCTAGTGGAAAAAACAAGAGTTTGGCTTTTTTTTGAGCCATCCACTCAGGAAGTGAGTTGAGAACCCCCTCCTGTTTTGTTTGGATTGGAGTTGGATTGCTGCTGGTTCTTGAGAAGTGGGAAATCACGTCCAAACCAATCCGAGCCACTTAGCAAGCTGAAATGCGTTTGGGTGAGATGGCACAGTTTCAACCCATTTTGGCTTAGTCCCTGGTACTTGCCAAGAGTATTCTGCCACCTACTTTCACCCTACAGAAGGGCTTTGAATCCGTAAACACTGAGGCTGGTTCAAATTGAATCCTCACCCCTTACGCCAAATGGCTGTGGCTCAAAAACGGTACCCAAAATGGCACCGTGGTATATGGAAGCAAGACCAGAACCTGCGTAACCCCATCTCTTAAATTTTTAGCCACACCCAAATGGTTCTTGTTTCCGTTCTTTCAACGATGCCGTCCACCCGCGAACAGAGGATTTAGGATCTCCCCTTGGCGCCATGTCTCTCCTTGGAAGGCCCTG